TGCATACAGTGTTGAATATATAGATGGGTTCGCTCTAACGATGTCATTATTATTGGGCCCACTACTAAACCTTGAGGAACACCTACACTGATGTCAAGATAATCAGAAATATAGGTGGTCACTGTTTTCTCAGTTACCCCTTGAAGACTAATGTATTGGCCACGGGCGTACAAATAAAGTATTTTCATTAAATACCCAAACGCACGCCACTGCAGGTAAAAAATTACCCAAATGCTCATAAAATATTCTTTTTGCAACCCTTTTGCTTTACAAAAATAGAGAGACCTGGTAAAGTATTATAAACCCGTCTATACCGACTATGGCAAATCATAATGAATTCACAAAATTTTGTTTGAGCACTCTATTAGCATTTTGTATTCATAATGAGCATTCATTACTTTCAACGGTAAGTAAACTACTTAGAGGATAACTGATTACAATGGGGTGGAATAACCCCTAGCTTCAGGCACAGCGAATTGGATTTGATCCACTTCTCAGTATTTGATTGTTCTGGAATTTGGCACGTGTGGTTCTCGTTACAATGCACGATTACCTAAATGCCGCCATTTTCAATTCTATATGGCGAGAGTTACAAAATGGCGATTTAACGATTCCACCCTATGATATTGGTATCAAGTGACGTCATTTTTAATCTAATTTGGCGGGCCGCTCAAGATGGGGGAGCAGTTTACTGCAAAGATTACGAAAAATAAAATGAAGTCACTCTGATATAATGTGGTGAACCCTCAAAGATTGGACTATGTTTTTCTTCGCAACCGCATGATATGGATATCAAATGAATGGGTTAAACAAGATGATCTCCATAAAAATTTTGACGAGTTCTAATTCGGCAAGAGTTAGGGATAGTTTGGTAGTATTCGTACAAATGTAGTGGGGTTCTACCATGCAACAATGACGCATTAAATAAAATGAAGAGACTAAATAACATGTCCAGCGATAACTAAAAAGGAAATAATGATTAGTAAAAAACATTTTTAGGTACAGCTTTCATTCACATGCTCTAAAAAGAGAAAAATTATTTTGATTTAATCAAACCATCAATTTATTCTATTGCATGCACAATTTACATGTGTAGAAACAATACATGTACTATGTGAACTTGATATGGACTTAAGGACTTCTGAGAAAAAAATTGTATTTTTATAAGTAAATCACGTGACAAGCTGTTATATCATATACATTGTGAGAAGAAATGAATTCAAATCTTGTTGTTGACGGAGCTTATTTTGAAACATTTTATTTTAAAATATTTGACATAGTTCCGGTAACGGTTTTATTTTATTTTCGTTTAGTCGATGTTAGGGAAAATAAAGAATAACTTATAAGAATTTCAATGACACCTCCTCTTGTGTACTATTGTGTACAACGTGAAAGTTACATAGAAGTGCGAGTATATGTGTGAAATCTGATAAAGCTCGATTTTTCGCAGCGAACAAATATTTACGCAGGATTACTATTCGATTACTTTTTGATTTTCTATCAGATAACTTCGGAGGGATGTTGAACGTGATAGAAAATGATAAAGGAATGAGTTTCTTTCCGATCTCATCCTTTCACATACGTGGACTGTTCAAAAAATAAGGTGAGTTTCTAAATCTTGCGAGCTACGTATTCAATTAGCGATTTTTCCATTTTTTCATGTTGGTAAACTCGTCTCGAACATATGTTCACATTTTCTGTTGTTTAGCTGTTTCTTGGTAAGAGGCATTGAAGTTGAAAATTTTTGTGGAAAATGGAGTTAAGTGCTCAGAAACACTATGTTGACAGTGGCATACGGTGATTGTACTCTGAGACATAAAAAGGTTTACAAGTGGTTCAAGCTTTCCACAGAAGGACGAGAAAATTTGAATGACGACGCTCGTCCTGGATGCCCCAGCACATTAAAAACCGATGTAAATGTTGAGAATCACAATTAGAGAAGTTGCTGAGGATGTCGGCATATGGGTTGGCTCATGCCAGGAAATTGTTTCGTAAATTTTGGGCATGATGCGTGTGGCAACGAAGTTCGTTCCAAATTTGCTGAATTTTGACCAAAACAACCTTTGCTTGAGCATGGCTCAGGAATTGTTGAACGACGTCAACGGGTCATGACTGGTTGTTGAATGACGTCAAAGGGTATTAACTGGTGATTTATCATGGGTATATGGTTATGACATCGAAATCAAAGTCCAATCGTCCTAATGGAAAAGTACAAGAGAGCCAAGACCAAAATAGCACGCCAAGTTCGATCAAATGTCAACGTTTTGCTCACCGATTTCTTTGATTACATTGGCGTAGTGCATCAGGAGTTTTTACCACATGGTCATAAGGTCAATAAGGAGTATTATCTTGAAGTTATATTATGGAAAAATAGTGGCTTTTGCATCACTATTATGCACCTGCTCGCTCGTCATTGCCTGTTTGTAATTTTTTGGCTAAAAACAACACCATAATCATGCCTTAGCCACCGTATTCATCAGATTTGGCCCCTCTGACTTTTTCATTTTCCCAAAATTCAAGAGACCCATGAAAGAAAGGCGTTTTGCTCAGGTGCATATCGGATCTGCTCAGGAGGGCTACTTTGAAGGGGACAAAATAGAAATTGATGGAAAAATAAATATTTTTTGAGAAAAATCAAAACTCACCTCATTTTTTCAACAGATAGAGTAGATGTTCAGGTATTATTAAGCTTTTGAAAGAAAAGTCGAAACTTGTGCGAGCTAAGGACTAAAGAGGTCTTTCCTTTTAACGTGTGATTAAATGTGTTTAAAACTCACTTCAGTTCATTCCAGAATGTTTGTTTTGCTATATGTACTTCATATGTCATAATTCAGTTTCAGAATCTGAGGTTAACAAACACATGTTTTTCTACTTATTGAAGCTTTTTAATTGTTTTTCAACACGTATTATCATCATTTTATATACATTTCTTGCATTATGTTTCTCTTCGAAATTTTTATTTTACTTCAAGGACACATCTTCATCCTCACTGACATGTTAAATTTGTACAATTCTCACATGTTTGACACAGCCAACCTGACTAACAATAAGTTGTCAAACCCCAACATGCATATCGCATAATAAGCATTGAAGCTTTTGCCTGATAATAATAAGTATTGGAATTACTTGTGTTACAAAAGAACACTTCCGTCCTGCTGTTCCCACGGGTGTACAATCTGCACATCCGTTCGTCTTTGATATAAAATCACGATGTATTTTTATGTCATAATTAACGTTTATTGGCAATAAACCAACTCGGAAGAATAAACAAATGTTCCATTTGTAAAATCCATTTGAAATTCATGAAACTTAGTGATTTTATTGTTGGTCATAACAAATGACTACTGAAAAAATGTTTACATTATATTTACCTACAAAATGCACTGAAAATAGACCCTTACACCAAAGGAGTAGGCAGATTGAGACCCCGAGATTGAGACCCCGGCGTTAAGTCACATCAATTTTTCGAAAATGGCTTCAAAATCGAAGCCGTAACGTCGAATGTATTCTAGTCGGCAATAAAGTAGTATATGTAACTCATTTATAATGCGAGATTATATCATTCGTGAAACTCACACCTGCATTATGAACCAGTGTTTCATGATGTTGAAAATCTCCAAGTGCTCCTGAAATAATAATAAAAAGGGAATCTTACGCTCCGTAAGTAAATATCTACAGATTTCTGTGGAGGCCGTTCAGGACAATGGAATGGAGTTACTGAATGGAAATTCTTCAATATGCAGCTTTTGAATACACTACCAAAATCAAAGAAACAACAAAATGGAAATTTGTAGTGAATGTTCATGTGATTATTGAATACCAGACAATATCTTTGGACAATAAATTCATCTATGACATTTTGAAGGGATATGACTAGGTCTGAAAGTATAGACTTCAGTTTTCGTACATAAGTGAAATGCACCAGAAGTAGGTGATGTAATGGGTCATTCAACTATTCTCCTCCTTCCTATCCAACGATCTGGAAAATGTTTTGTTTATAAACTCGTGAACAGTTATAAGCGAATGTGGCAGTGTGTTGAAATCGCATTTCGGTGTGAAGTATTCGCGATCGGAATATTAGAAAAAAGCTGGATTGAATAAGGAATATTTTACTCAAATCACATTGTAAAACAGGTTCGAAATCTGGGAAAATTTCATAAAATAAACTGCGTACCTCTCTTTAAGTTCTTATTATATCGTCAACAACATGGATAAAATTGCAATCTTTTCCCTGTTTTTAAGAAACAGTTTGAATATGATTACTTTCGATTAAATTTCATATAAAATCACCTACGTGGAAGACTTAACAATATAGACTAGAATTTTTATCAGTTTTCATCGTGAAATGAAAAAAAAGTCTTCAAAGAATATACAGTATATTCGAAGGACAAAATGGTAATGAAAGTGGCGAATACACCCTGAACATTTATGGAATCAGCTCAGCAAAATGATTCCAACGATGGATCACCGTGTGCATTAAATTAATCAAAATCAAAAATCGTAAATGCAAGGTTATTGTTTATTTATTTCATAACGAATTTAAGCGTTAGGTTATGAACGTATTGTTCAATAACCTCCTGCGATATTTGAAGTCACTAAGAAATTAATCTAAATAAAGAGAACAATGAGTCTAATCTACTACTAGGTGATTCAGAACATGCCAACAAGAGGGGTGAGTGGAGCGCAACAGCGTGGTATCTGAGCAAACACAACATAATAAAGCAAGTGTTGAATGAACCCTCGATGGGGCTTCAAAGTTACGGGGGCGCGCTGCCCCCGTGGAGGTCCAAAGCTGAGGGCCGCAGGTGCGTGATGGTGTGAATAAAAGCATGAAGAGAAAGAAAAAGGTTATCGCACTTGTTGCGGAATGCGGTCGTGGAGAAGCTTGGCCGGGAAGCAGGTCTAGGAGGCTCGTTCATGTATTGATCGCAATCAAGTGAGCACGAAAGGAAGGGTGCGGGTGTCGAGATCGCGTGGACAGGTTTGACGTCACGGCGTACCTTTATCAATGGCCATGAAGGTAGCTGAGGGCACACGTGCCCGTTGCACTCGCTGGAGATCGGTCCATGTCAGTCGGTGGCCAAGGAAGGAGCACCTGGTGCCGCCTATTCTAATTCTAAGGTTGAGAGAACATAACGTGAAATGTTCGTAACAACGTCCGTTGCTAATGTTGTCGGCTCACTCACAGCAGCAGCACGTTCACACACCGCCTTACTGTGTCCGGATTTGGCCCTTCGCTTGGCGGTACACCCATGACCATGATGGATCTGCCGACGTAACTTAACCGTAACTGGTCTCGAAACTAGCCACAACCCGTTGAACTGAAGAGCTTATGGGCTCGGCCGTGCCGCGTTCGAGGACTGCAAACAGTAAACCAGATGCGCTTTCTGTCTTGCGCGTTGCCGGCTTTCCAGGGACGCGCAGCGCATGCCGGTGATACGGCGCCGACGCCCGTCGCCACCTGATACCCGCGTCCTCTTCGAAACTCCTCGCCTTGGGTCATCTTCCGCGCCCGACCGATCCCACACCGATGCGCGAAATCGCTCGCCATGGGCGGAGGTTGACGTGAGTCAAACGGATCGGTGCATTGTTTGAATTTAGTATTTCGATTCCTTTGATATAGATTTCACTTCTACTTAGTGGGGAATACTTGAAGGAACAATTTGTTCAGGCCAGTCTTCCTTTACCTACACAGAAGGTATATAAGAGACTAACACCTATCAGAAAACAACTACTCCCTTGGCTAATACCACGAAGGGCGCTGGATTATATCCGACAGGTGCCGGTGCAGGATTCTTCACAGAAGTGATTCCTGCATATGCTGTTGGCGATACAACTGCCGGAATCGATTTTCAATTATTGGAACGGGCACACTTGTAGACCGGTTTCGGGCTATTTGGCCTCTCGTCAATACAATCAACACGTAGTCGATGATTTCCTATGATTAAAAATCAAATCCGTCGCGATGGCAGATTGTTGCTTGTCGTTCGCTTCAGTTTTCTTCGAGGTACGATACTCTGAAAGGATTTTATTTTCAATTATAGTAAATCATCAACTTCGTATTGATGTAGGACACTACCTTGCACTGTCGAGAGGCCAAATAGCCTGAAACCGGTCGGCAAGTGTGCCCGTTCCAACAATTGAAAATAAATTCTGGCAGTTGTATCGCCAGAAGCATATATGCAGGAATCACTTGTGTGAAGAATGCTGCACTGACACCTATAGGATATAATCCAACGCCCTTTTTTGGTATTGGTCAGGAAAGTAGGTGTCAGTCCATAAACCTACTGTGTAGGTAAGGGAAGACTTGTGATGAACTGTTTGGAACCTTTGTTGTAGTAATGAATATTAGTGGAGTTTTTTCCCAACACCAAACCGTTATTCTAACACCTAGACACATGTTTCGATCACCAAGTTATCATCTTCAAGAGAAACATTAAACTGAAAATACTGATATAGATTTGCTTGATCTGAGTAATATTCATTTCATCGCCAGGTATTTGTATTGCTTTTGATGAAATGATTTGTTTCAATTGAATAACGTATTTATTTGAAATGCCATTTTGAAAATCATTGAAATGAAAGCTTTTATTTATTTTATTCGAAACTTCTGACTGTTAGTCCACTAGAAATACTGACCTATTCAGTTTAAATGAATATTCGGGTGAAATTTCGGTTAAATTGCACCCTCCGATCTTGAAAAAAATGTTGGGTGGTCCTACGTACTTTGACGTGTAGATTACGAATCAAAAAGAAAAAATTATGCACTTCATTATCTAAGTCAAATTGGAGCGAATATTACAGAGAATTGAAATTTCTGTAGAAGTGATGTGTATTTCATTCAATATCATTTAAGGTTCGCGTAGAATGGCGTGAGAAGAAATTTCACAAATTGTGTGGAATAGTTTAAATTACCGAAGTTAAACACCAATGAGAATTCTAAAAGAAAACATCGAACCCGTACCCACCATCATATCTGATTGTTGGAACTCCTACAATTTCTTTGATACTCACATCTAATTTTCAATACTTCAAAAAATTTCGATAATTTGAACTCGTGTAACTCTATCCAAAATAGTCAACAAAGATCAACATGAGGTCTCATTTCACTGGAATATATAACATATAAAATTCACACTATCAGGCAATGAAGAAAATCTACGAATAGTAAGTACTTTTAGTAACATATTAGGTATTGATGTATGACCTGGTAGGGTATAATGACTGGAACATTGATTGGGCCATTTCAGCCACTTGGAAGATAAGATGGATAACAATTTTATTAATTTTTGCAAATTGATCTGCCAGCTTTGCGATCTGCTTTAAACTTGTGCAGGAATATGTGGTTTCAATTTGAATGCACTTTACCACATTTTGCCTTCCAAGTACTGCAATTTTCAACAGAAACCTCTAAAAAAAGATGAATTCAAAGGGTGAAAGAATCTCTTGATTGCTGTAGTGATCCCCGGATGTGAACCCTCTCACCGACTTGAATTGCATCAAAAGCTTAAGTAATAAGATGTTTCATTCAATGTAAAATTCTAATTAAAAAAAATGTAGTACTTTTCATCAAATGCAGTAAATCAACTATTTTTTAAGATACAATTATTTAAATGATTGCTACTTCTTAAAAACTGAAATTTAATGAAAGAAATTAAGCTCTTAGATTTTCAGAAAACTAAGAAAAACATACTGCGACTGAAAGATCAATAATCTTGCCACTTTTGAAACATAATAAAAATGTTCTTGTCTTTCGTGACAGTTTTTTTGTAACAAAAACATGTTAGTACATAGATCACAGAATGAAAATTACTGAAAACTGATTTTACGGTACAGTTCAAATAGTTTCAAGAAGGTGAGACCTATACCGTCATTATTGATCCATTGAGTTACGTATTTTATACAGTCCTAAAATGCAATTTTATAATACTGTTTGAGTGGAGTCTATTTTTTTTTGTTTCGACTCTCCAGAAAGATTATCCTTGGTATTTTGATTGATTTTTTATTTTTAACCGAATTTTTGTACTCCCCACTAGTAAATGATCAACTGTACGCGTAGAATGAACTAAATCTTGACTTTTAAAAACGACAGAAACCAAGATAAATTTATCTCACGTCCATACCACCAATACACGAAGAACTTCTGAAAGATTTTCAAGGAACTAGGTATGAAGGTGGTTTTTGAAACAAGTCATACACTACAGAACCTTTTAAGAAGTCCAAAAGACAAAGTCTGGAATTTACAAAATCAAATGTAAGTACCGCGATGCAAAATTTTATGGACAGACAAAAAGATCTACAGAAATAAAATACAAGGAACACTTAGCACACTTAAAATATGGAACACCTGAAAAATCAGCAGTCGCCCATTTCAACAAAACCATTCCATAGACTTCAGTTCATTAAGATTAGTTACCAACAACAGGCATCTATATGCCTATGAGAATAAAGAAATAAGTTAACATAATAATATTATGAATAACGATGGAGGATCAATACCGAATAATATACTATATAGCTTGTTAAAATAATATTTCATTTATTAGAGTCACCTGACAATTACATAAGGACACATTGTAACCTAGAACAGGTATTAATGGTATAAATAAAGATAGCTTTGTAAGTATGATTAGTTTGATCTTCTTCTTGAAGATGATCACTTGGTGATCGAAACACGTGTCGAGGTGTTAAAATAACGGTTTGGTGTTAGAAAAAACTCCACTAATATTCATTACTACAACAAAGGTTCCAAACAGTGCATCATAAGTATCTACGTATCGAGTTGTAATTTCCAATTTCTACTGAAATAACCCCCAAACTATACTCTCCATGATGTTATTGTCAACACATTTGATAGACGGGTATCTTTCGAAATTACTGAGAAATTTTCGGTCACATACAAACTAATTGTTTTTATTGAAGTCACCCTAAGATAATGTAAATCCCATTGATCATATTACTATGTCTATTACTTCCAGTATATTATACATTGTGAAAGAAGATGATATTTCATTATTATTCCTGTTCTTTCTATAAAGATTCCTAGTTGAAAAAATTATATTTTCTCCTCGAAGTTGAGCTGGTCGGACCCAGTCTCAAGAGCCCCGATACATTTGAAAGGGCGCGCCAGCATCATCAACCAATAGTCACATAGTCACTTTCCACACCGTGGGATAAGTGATCATTGGGTCCAAGAATCATGTGCCCTAAGCAAACGCAATGAACCAAGAATGACAGCCTTCGGCATTCATCGATGGTTAAGATTCAATCATCTTCTGATGGTTTTAACTTGGTTAATGAAATGAGCATCGAGAGACAGTATTTCCGTTCTGGTGGAGGAGTAATTAATGGAACAGAAACTCAGATGAAAATATTTGAGTTCAAGGGTTAATTGGGTAAAAACTTTATTATTAATTTTTTTTTATATTCCATATACATAATTTCAACAAATTCTAACATAACAACCAACTGACCAGCTTAATTTATCATTTGTTATTGTCGTATTATAGTGAGTTCTTAAATTCAACAGAAACTGTCTGATGGATTACTTCTACTGATAGAAACGCTTTGCGATTGAAACAATAGATGAATTCATCCTACTTTATCCATTTATTCTGTAAAAATTAATGAAAATAATCTGGAAAATAATTGGAAAAGAAGTTACCTATTTCTAAAAGCTGTACTAAATAAGTGAACGACGAATTCGAAGACATCCACTAGTTGTTCATGTTAGATCCATTTCATATGGGTTAAAATTGGACCTTTTATGGATATCCATCCATAATTGAAATGCTCATGGACTTCCTATATGGACGTTCATTTAAAGTCCACAATTGTGTCGCCAAATAGTGGGCTTTTCATGGTTATCAATTGGACGTCCTTTCAATGTCCATGTTCATAAGGACCAATATTGGATCTTTTATGGATGTCCAGTAGATATCCTGTGTTTTCTGGGACCGATGCGACGTGTGGCGTGTAGTATGATATAAAAATATGTCGCGATATTTTACTGTGTAGATAAATTAAATACATAGTGTATTTAATTTGGAGTTTATTTTATTCTTTTAAGAGCATACAAATGAAAGATTGGTTTTAAGATTCGTTGTTCATTTCTGATATATACCAATCTCATAACTATGAACATTCTATGAGAAATATTTCAAATTTGTTGGCTTAAAAGCTTTCTATAACCCCGTATGTTCGAAGGTGTGAAGGTACGACTTCCTTTATCTTTATTTTCATTAATAGCCTGTCTTTGTTTTACGCTCCGATTTCAGTTTGCACCCACCCTTGCTATCGCCCACCCTATTTCATTATATTTTCGTTGCTAGGCAACCCCCACGACCCAGAAACTT